TCCCCATGTTTCCAGGTGCTGGGTATCTCCTTTCTCATAATCAGTTGGTTGATCAGAAAACAGATCGGGTGGCTGAGACTGGGATAACCTTCTTTCAAAGCCCTAGGAGGTATTAAATCACACCCGGTAGCTTTTCTGATGTTAAGTGACTTTAACAAGTCTGCTATCGTGGATTCGGTTACTGAGGTGAAGTTAAAGACAACAGTAGAAGAAATGTTCACGATAGTGGAAATACTGGGGTGATTTTTCGGATCAGGCGAGGCCAGTGAGCTTATGCTGAGAAAATGATCATTAGGGATATGATGATGTTTTCGCTTTCCACTAACTGAATAGACTCAGATATCTGACTTTTCCTGGACAACAAGAATGGTTTAAACACGCTCCAAAATTCCGAAGGATTTCCGGTAGATGCACTTCATTGCTTGGCAAAGTATTTCTTAATGGCCCTTCTTCTCAGGTTTACGACACGATTTCTTTGTTGACGATATTTTTCCCAATCGCTTGGTTCCTTGGTAGTGTAATATGTTCGTCTGAATTTATTCCTACATCAAATAGCGGCCATCACTTCAGAATTAAAGTAGGGTGGCTTAGGTTTAACTGATTTCCTCTGTACTAGGGGAGCATGATCGACAAGTACGTCTGTTAGAAGTTTTTCCCATGCCCAGTATACATCATCGATGTCTTCAAAGCTGTTTGCAACATGGAAAGGTATAAAGGCAAGCTCTTCGTTGTATCTTTCCGCATCGAAATTCTTGAAATTCCTTCTGATAGTAATCTGGTAGTAAATATAAAAGAGCTACGCCATGCAGAGAGATGCACAAGCAGTATTGAAGATAATTCCAATATGTACTGGTTTTAGAAATTTTATAATTATTCAAGCAGACTAATTCAGAGAAAATTTAGAACAATTGTAAGTTATGAAAGAAAACTACCTGATTTATCTTACTACGGTGGCCCAGAAGGCTCAACGCAAACAAAAAATATACTGCAGCAAATAAAAAATATACTGCAGCAAATAAAAATATACTGCAGCAAAAATAAAAAAATCAGAACGCAAAGAAAAAAGTACCGCAGCAAATAAAAAAATGCAACGCAAACAAAAAATACTGCAGCAAATAAAATATGCAACGCAAACAAAAAAAAAAAGAAAACCCAACCAAAAAAAAATTGGAACGCAACACCAAGGAAGACTGGGTAATAGTTCTTAGTTTCCCGCCAAAACAGCATGAACTGGAACTTACTTTTGGCTATGGACGAAAGCGATCTGCGTAGGATTATAGAAGATTACTTTCATCAAGGGTATGAAAATAGAGTTATTATCGATTTTTTTAAAGGAGCAGCATGGTACTGTCATAAGTTCGCTGCAAAACATGGTTTCGGAAAGGTGAACAAGCAAAGGATGGAACGAGTGTTGGCGGGAAACTAAGAACTATTACCCAGTCTTCCTTGGCGTTGCGTTCCAATTTTTTTTGTTTGCGTTTTCTTTTTTTTTTTGTTTGCGTTGCATGTTTTATTTGCTGCAGTATTTTTTGTTTGCGTTGCATTTTTTATTTGCTGCGGTACTTTTTTTCTTTGCGTTTTGATTTTTCTATTTGCTGCAGTATATTTTTTAGTTGCTGCAGTATATTTTTTATTTGCTGCAGTATATTTTTTGTTTGCGTTGAGCCTTCTGGGCCACCGTATCTTACACTCTAACAATGACCTCCGCACAGGTTGTCGAAGCGTCACTCTATAACACTGACAACAGACTATAACAGTTCCTTTCCAGGACCACATTCATAACATGGTTACTAATATACTAGTTCGGTACTAGTTCACGGAATCATTAACGTACGGAAGGCCCTCTAAGTTTAAAATTTTTGGATATCTTTCAGTTTTTCTGTAAACTAGATGAATGAGGATGGAATTTAGTGGGGGGGGGGGGGGTGTTAAGGCCGGATGCCAATCGAGGGGATTCTGCTATATTTTTGCCTAGTTCATAATACAGCTGTGACTGGAAAATCCAATGAAGTCGACGGACGTTATCAGTTCCATCATGAGTTCCGCACATACATCAAATTCCAGTTACTATTATATTGTTAGTGATATTTTGGTAGAACCATCACAAATCTTCAAATTCAAATGAAGACCAACTGGAGGACAGAATAATAGAAGGAAGTGAGTACTATTTGCTCAAGGTTGAATCTATTTTCGTTTTACCCCAAATTGGCTTACATCGTCATTAACATGAGAGAAAGCTGAAAACCTTTAAAGAGCAGGCGATCCCGGTAGGGTGATCTCACAGCATCTCTACATTTGATTTCAAATGTGCGGAAGCTCTCCAAGGATTCACAAGCACTTTATTCCTCGACCAACTGCAATTTCGTTAGACTGAACTTAAAATCTCAACTGTCTCGCGTAGAAGTTACTCTTACTACAGAACAAATTTCAGTGATCCTATAATCACTCACCGTTCGTCTCATCCACATAACTGATGTTAAATTACAGTTGGGCCTAGTGTTCGTCACAAATTTTATTAAGAAATCAGTCAGAAACATGAAAGGACTAATGTCATAATTTTTATCTATCTTAAAAGCGGCAAACTCTGACAAGCATCATCGATTACAAGTACATGGAACAGACATTAAAACTCCTATATGCATGAAGCATGAAGCAGACCATGCATGAGAAGGCAAGGTGTTTTGTTCCTCTAGCAAGGTTTACAAGTCGTAAATATGACCAGCAGGAAAAGTGCGCTAAACTTTTGTTGTACAAGAAAAAGCTAGAAGGACTTTATCAAAACCATTCAATAGAAAAGAAGAATCAGATAGCCACGGAAGATGTACTGTTTCGTATTCTTCAAATTCAAGAGATTGGAAGTGTAGAACATTATTATCTTAATGGCTCACTCGTTAAAATACATGTTTTGGAGGACACGGATATTTAACAGGATCAGTGGCCATCAGGGAATTCCTGACCAAGGAGCAAGATTTTATGAACCGACTTAAGATGACTACACGTCTAAATGTGGCATCTAAAAATTATCTAGAGCTAAAAAAGGAAAAAAATTGGAGGCATCAATTTCGATATCTTGATACCAGTTCATGATATTTACCCCCGCAATACCAATATCTTAACATTGAATACACTAAGCTATATCTTCAATGTAACAGAAATAAAAATATTTTTATTTGAATTATTTCTTATTATTCCTCTTTCAATTTTTTCCCTCTTTTTTACGACAGGGGATTGTGGGGGGAGGGGAGGGGATGGGATGGTGAGGGGAAGAGGAGGGGATGGTGGGGGGGAAGGGGAAGGGGAGGGAGAACTGTTGCCCAATGATTGCTACCATCTGTCTAAAAGTCATCTCGTCATCCCAAAAAAATTATTGAAAGTTGAAAAGGCTTTCAAAGACTCCATCACCTTATTTCTACGAAATTTTCTTGGCCCAATGGTGGTTTCATTGACTTCGTTATGCTGATAAATAAAAACGTGTAGCGATAGTTTTCACCAGTCTTCGGTTATAAGGTCGTTTCAGCACAAAGTCGTTCCACCACATGTCGATGTCGATCCAACGAGTCAGACGTGGTTTTGCTACAGATCAAGGGTCGCTTCGCAACAGGCTCAACGATATCAACCAAACGTTACGTTTACCCAGTCCCCTGCATTTACAACATCTATCAGGTATGTTGTGTTTGTTCGGTTTTTTAAATTGAATGACTATGAAATATAGTAATGGCCCTGAAGTAACAATATCGCCTCAAAAAAAACAAAACAAAATCAACATTCAACGATACTAAGTAGAATGTTAAATTGGTACTGTGAGAACATAACCCAAGGCCTTCTACTCTTAAGAGGGAGGGAGGAAGAGGAAAACTCTGCATTCGAGCCAAGTGTTCCATTCAGCTGGAGTTACTACCTGTGGATGATACGCCAGTCCTTAGCAGGTTACGCAAAGACCCGGATTCTAGGGCTGTGCCATCAGGCGACCACGTCTCCCGCTGAGTGGGCGAGGTAGGCGGAGTTATTAAGTAAACACACTTGTTTATCAATACACAGAATTTAATAATCAAGATAACGATTAAAAAACAGTTGCTCGCTCAAAGCGCTTAAAGTATACTTCAGTCGACTCGAAAAGCAAACCTCACCCGCCCCACATCATGCCATTACCATGGATGTACTTGCAAATCACCACCACAAATTTTGGAAATGTCATCTAAAAAATTGAATTCCTCCGTGCTGAAAGTTTCAAAGATCCTTGTTTCGCCACACTAGATATTATAAGCCCATTAAATATTTCAGTATACAAATTTCTCCTCCTGCCACCCACGTTGCGTTGATATGAGTTCTCTGAAAGCATAGTTTTGTCTCCTGATTAAGGGAAAAAGATCTGAAACCTTGAAGTGTAACATCGGCTTTGTTCCGTGAGGAAACGGTAGGATTCGTTCCTTTCTAGTGTTCCAATATTCCATTGTTCCAGTGTACTGATTTTCCAGAAGTTTCTTGATCTCTAGATTCCAGTCTGCTAACGGTTATCATTGGTCAAAATGGCGGAGAAAGTGTTTCCAGAGAAGTTAGTATCAGAGAGGATAGACAAAATACATGAAATGTTGTATAGGTGCAATACACTAGAGAAAACAATAGAAGGATTGACGAAGCTACAGAGAAAGCTATTAGCAGAGTTGAAATTCTTAACATCCGTGAGTATTGACTGCCAACTGTCTCAGGAAATTGTCTGTAGCTGGTTTTTTTTAAATGAAATTACCATTGGTAAGATAAGCTTAAATCAGTGATTGTCCCGTGTATGGTTATTTTCAAGAATTTTTTGGGGGTCGAAAAATATTCACCCAACTTACACAGACCTGTAGAGACTGACAATGTGATTCGTTGCTGTCACCACCTCAACTACGCGGCCAAAAATTAGTCATTTAATATATAATTGATAAACTACTTTTTAATATGTAATATGTTGCTAATTGTGTTGAAGTAAAGGTCATTTATCTATCTATCTATCTACAGCTATATCTTTATCTATGTCTACACAGTATATCTATATCTATGATCTATCTACCTGCCTATCTATGAGACTAAACTTAGCTTTGAGAGGAGATTACAGGCAGCCCAAGTGTATTGTGTGTGACTTTGGGGTGTAAAGTTCATAAACGGCAATAACTAACTTATTAAGATTGAATTTCAAGTGTACGTGTGAGCCATTAAAAAAAGGACAAATTAAAAAAAAAATAAGAGGAATAAAACATATGAAGTCTCCTTACCTTTTTTCCGTGGCCACTTTGTTGCCAATGGTCCTTTTAATGCTGTTTTGGCGACTTGCTTTGTGATGCATGCAGTGTCACCAGTCAACTGTAAAATAGGAAAAATTATAAAAAAATTAAGAAAAAATCAAAAAGCAAAATAAAAGCGAGGTATATATCGTATGAAGTCTCCTTTCCTTCTTCCATAGCTGCTTTGTCATTTACGGTCCATTTAATGCTGTTTTGGCGACTTTCTTTGTAACACGTGTGGTGCTACCAGTCAACTGTGTATAAAAAAACTCAAGGCTGGAAACTTCAGCCGGTCCCGAACACCAACCGTCACCTTTCGAAGGCCGATAAATTCCACAAAAGTCAACCGATCTCCCTCAAATTTCCGCCCAAGAGAGCGCTTAGCTACTACCTGCCCATTCCAGTGGCAAAAGTTGGCAACTTCCACTGCATTAATTGGTGAGCCGCTCCATTTTACCATCCATTCTGGCTAAATTGCTCTGTAGGTACACGTAATCCTTTTGCCCTTAACTATGGGATTCAAATATCAAAGTGTATCTAACCAAATAAAAGACTCTCCAGGGGATCGCTAGGAAGGTTGTGAAGTTTGCCCTGTTGTCAAACAACACTGTCTTGGGAGTTATACGTGTAGTTCAACCCAATGCGCTTTGATATTTGAATCCTGTAGTAAGGGCAAAAGGATTATGTGTACCTACAAAGCAATTTAGCCAGAGTGGATGGTAAAACAGAGCGGCCCTCAGATTGATGCAGCGGAATTTGGAAACTTTTGCCGCTGGAACAGGTAAGTAGTAGCTAAGTGCTCTCGTGTATGAAAATTTGAGGGAGATCGGTTGAATTATGTGGAATTTATTGGCCTTCGAGTGGCGACATTGGTGTTCGGGACCGGTTGAACTTTCCAGCCTTGAGTTTTTTTATACACAGTTGACTTGTAACACCACATGCATCACAAAAAAAGCTGCCAAAACAGCATTTAATGGACCGTACACCACAAAGCAGCCACGGAAGAAAGGAAAGGAGATTTCATGATATATTCCTCGCTTTTATTTTCCTTTTAATTTTTTGCTTAATTTTTTTAAAATTTTTCCTATTTTACAGTTGACTGGTGACACCACACGCATTATTAAGCAAGTCGCCAAAACAGTGTTAAAACAACCATTGGCAACTAAGCGGCTACGGAAAATAGGTATAGAGACTTCACATGTTTTATTCCTTGCTTTTATTACCCTTCTAAATATTTTCTTATTTATTTATTTTTTAAATTTGTCCTTTTCTTAATGGCCCACACATACGCTTGAAATTCAAACTTAATATGTTAGTTATTGCCTTTAATGAACTTTACACCCCAAAAGTCACACACAGTAAGCTTGATGTGTTGTGATCGAATACTTCAAGACAAACTAGAGAGATCTCATTGATTTATTGATCCATGTAATAAGACTAAGAATACTTTTAAAAAATTTCTCAGTTAAAAAGCTCTGAGCTGACATTGAAGCACCCGCACATCAAAAGCACCAATCTTTGATTCCTCGAAGCTGTGTTAGAGACTGTGGAAAGTGAAGGCAATGTTACTGCTGTGTTCAAGCCATTTTCTTTTGTGGGCAACAAGTCAATACAGTTAAGTTGTACTGTGGATATTGTTTGCAAAAGTGGCTGTTGTTGGATTAAGGTTACTGCAAGAAATGCTTCTGCATTACACAGGACATGGCAAGGTATATTTTTGTTAAATAATCATGATTAGTATATTTGTAAATGAATTGATTTTGATTTTTTCATGACCAAACTTAAAATTTACCATCTGACTTTTTTCTTTGTACAATCAACTTTCATTTAATTCTTGCAGATACTAACATTATCATTTTTCTAGGGAAAAGCAAGTTTTGCCGAATTTTGCTCTTTCCGTTTTGGCACAATGTTGTACTTATTATTACTTATTAGTACTTATTGGTATGTACATATATATTTTGTAGGGCAAGGAAACTTTGGTGAAAAAGACATTATCCACCAAGCAAAGGTGCGCACTGTAGTAATTGTTAGATACAATCATATGCTTTACATTTGGCTGAAGTTGTTCATTGTGATGCATCACTGATACATCCATTGAGTCAGATAATATCATACTGGTGTCATACTATTTCTTTTTCAGGAGTTATTAGAAGCAAGCAAGCAACACCCTGTAAATTATTCACCTCCAGTTGTTATAATTTCCTGTTGTCAGGGCATCACAGAATCTCTGGCAAGTGAGTTTACATTTTAAAATAATAAAATGATTATGAACTGATTTAATTTTGAAATAGTTTGATGTGGCATCATCCTTGGAGACCCAGGGGCTCTGAGTTGATTTCAAGTTAAGGGCAGAAGAGCCCCTGGGGACATTGTCTTACAAGACTAGTTCCAAACGGTCGCAGTCATTCTGGCATCTGATTGGTGCCAGAAAATCTTTGTTTTTTTTTCTGCCCAATCAGAGTGAAGTGTGCTTTGGAGTCCTTTCGTGTGTTTTACTACGGACATATACAAGAAGCTCTGTTGCTCACTGTTTGTTTGAGCTGTGCGATGAAGCTTTGCCCATGGTGAAAAGTTTCAGTCTCAGCACACAATGTAAGAGAAATCGATCAGATTGTCCGCAAAAATCTTACCGGAAATTATACTGAATACTTTCGCAGGTATCAAAAGAGAACATGTTTAAAAGTTTGCTAGGTTTGCATAAAACATAATGATTGCAAGCATTGATATGTCACTTTAAACGTTAGATGAGATGTAAGCTTAAATCTTTCTACCAGTGTAGAGTTTTTTGTATAATTTGTTGTAACTGAAACTTTTTCAATCCTGTGAGGCTATTTCATCGCATGGGCCACGCAGGTATGTCGAGCAACTGGCGCTTACGCAGCTTTCTGCTCGGGCCAAAATCTAATCTAATCTTCGCCTGAAAAAAAAAAGATAAGCTAAGCGTGGAAACTTTTGATTATTAGATGTGGGTAGATAACCCTGTACTAAGCTGACATTTACAATAAAGCAAACCCACCGTTTCCATCCAATATTTCTTTATCTTTGGTTTTGTTTTCCCTAATGAAAGCAGCATCGATTCCCAATGATCAAAGGTATTTAACTTGGTCTTCAACAAGCGACAAATGAGGTGAATTAGCAATGACCAAGTAGAAGAGAATCCGTGGCCTTTCGAGCTCAAGAATTTGAACACTCTAGGCAGCAGTTGAAAGATTAAACTCTTTCCAAACCCCTTCGGTAACTGTTTGAAAACATCTCTCCTTCCCACGATGTTCTTGATAATTAGTTTTTGTTCAGATTTCAATTAGCTATAGCCGGAAACACAGCTAAGCTTTCTGTAAGTGCTTGCTGGAGGTCATCCACAAACTTGACGTTCTCTGCAACTTTGGCCAGATTGAGAAAGACTTTACTACAAAGCAAAGATTAGATTTTATAACATAACCAAAGTAAAGCACGTGCTCTGATTGGTCAATTTAGCGTCCCCCATTTACCCATGGGTGTATGCTGCTGACGTGAGCATATGCAAAGACTAGTTTTCCATGCACGCTTGTTTTTTTCTGGTCACGTAAGATTTGTTAAATAAAAGGGAACTCTTTAGCTACAATGTGTCAATGTTATGTTATAAAACAAATGGTAAACACCACAGCGTACACTACTGAGTTATGGATGCACTTGGAAGGTTTGCTAAGCACTCAAGAAGCTNCTCTTACATTGTGTGCTGAGACTGACACTTTTCACCTCGAGCAAGGCTCTTTCGCACGGCCCAAACCAAAGCGAGCAACTGAGCTTCTAGTACATGTGCGTGTTAAAGCACACTTCACTCTGATTGGGCAGAAAAAAACAAAGATTTTCTGGCACCAATCACATGCCAGAACGACTGCGACCGTTTGGAACTATAGTCTTGTAAGACAATGTCCCCAGGGGCTCTTCTGCTCTTAACTTGAAATCGAGCCCCTGGGTCTCCGAGGATGATGTGGCATAGGATAGAGTACTTTTCATTTGTTTGATATTCCATTTGTTTGATATTAATGGATGCAAACTCTTCAATTTATGATTACAACTGACAACAGTTTGTTCTAATATTCTCATTTATTAGAAGCTTTGAGAAGCACGGGTATTTGTGTCAAAGGAAAACTTTTACCAGACCCCGAGAAAGGTGCTTTGGCTGGTACATGTAATGATGACACATTTACTGATAACAGGCTTCCTGCTGAATTTTATGAATTTGAATGGTTGGTAAATGATATCATCGTGGCATAAATATTCTGTGTCTCCTTATGCATATTTATAAGTTTACTTGAACAGTTTAAAACTAAGATGAAGCTATAATACAAGGAAATTTATAATCATGGTAATTGAATTGGGTTGGGTCCAATTTCAGTCAATAAGCAATTTCATTCAATATATTCTTGACTAGTGAACAACGGGGGTTTCAAAATGTTTTGAAGTGGGCAATTCAGTAGGGGCCAAAATGTGATTATTTTGACCAGAGTAACTAGGGACATGCTATCAAGAAGCTGGCAGAACAGGGGTTGGAACCCTTAGGAAGATTGTGCCCCTAGGGTCTTCCAACCTTGACCCTGTAGGGGACATGATTCATTTATTCCGCTGCCCTGGAAATAAATAGCCGAGGAAATTGTGGCATATTGCCCATATCCACCATACCAGACAGAATATAGAAAACACCCTGCACCACCAATCTTACTCCCTGGTCAAATTTTCTAATCAAGAATCTTGCTGGTCCATTAAGATTATAAGGAACCAAATGCTGTTGAGCTGCACTCAAAGTACCACCTTACTTTTATGCCAACAAGGATGTTCACCCTCTCCCTCAGGAAACATACATTAGGAGTGCTTTGTAAATGAGTGTAAACTTTTGAGGTTTTGAATTGAAGTCAGCAACTGATGTCATCAATTGCCGACTTGTCTTAAAACCACTATAAAAAAATTGAAAGAACGTGAAGTGGTACATGAATTCTGATATGGACATATACCGCAACTGAGACCCGCCTTATTGGTGCTGGGGCTAGAGTGTGTTTCTTGCATGGCCTGTGAGGAAAAGAAAAGTAAGCTGGAAAACCTAATCAGTGCCAGATCCCTTTCATACAGTACCACCAGCTTGCTTTACTAAAGGCCTCCACCTCCTTGTGGGTGGAAAACATCCAGGTTTCAGGGCTAATAAGGAAGGCCTGCTGTGAGGCAGGTACTCTATCAAGACTAAAAGATGCACACTGTGAAATAAAGAATAATATGTACCAACAAGAATTAATGAAAGCTTCTTTACAATTAAATATTACTCACAAGTCATATTATTAAAAAGTTTCATGTAACCTTTTACAGATCTAGCTAAACCAATGTAAATTGTTATAGAAAATAATAGGAATTTTTTAAAATATCCACTGAATAGAATGAACCATCTTTTAAAATTTACAATCAGTGGTTATCTCGTGTTTTTTTTTTTTTTTTTTTTT